GCCGCGCACCACCTGCCCGCCATGGTGCTGTGAGCGCCGCGCCGCCGCACCCCCCGGACCCGGCTCCCGGCCCTTCTGACTTGACCTCCTCGCCGGACGCCGCCGCGGGTCTCCCGGCGCCGTAGGTGCGCCCCAGAAATGACCCTCGGGTATAGGGTCTTCGACCCATTTCGCAGGCGACACGGAGAGGCGACGTCCCTCTCCCAGTCCACCCAGCTGATGTGGTCCTCAAGCCAGATTCGCTCCTGGAGCCTCCCGAGAGTCTCTGGGCACCCTCAACTGGGGAAGAGCGCCACGGAGAGCCCGGTGCTCCGGAATGGAGGGAGCGCGACCTCCAGGCTGCCTCCTGCCTCCTGGGACTGGTACCCTTGTAGGATCAGAAGTCAAAGACAAACTTGAAAGTTGAAGCTGTTGGGCCCAGGGCAGTCCCGAGAGACCCGAGAGACCTGACCTTGGGGGTCCTTTCCTCCGCTAGGGCACCTGACTCCCAAACTCGGCTCCTGGGGATGGGCGAGGCCTGTACTGTGCAGCGTGTTGGTGCAGCCGCGACGGAGGTCCTCTGTCGGATCCCAGGGAAGACTTCAGTGTGCACCTCAGTTTGGAGCCTCTTTGGGCCTCAGTTTCCCCATCTGTAAAATGAAGGAGTTGGACCAATGCCCCTTCCCCTTAGCTCTGAAATCACCCTTGGGAGGGGGACGGTCCCTGCCCCACAGGCAACACACACCCCAGCCAGGAGGGCAAAGCTGTCAAGAGGTTGGCTCCTCTGCCTGGAAAGCACTTCTGAGTAGTGCCCATCTGGGCCCGAGTTCCACCCTGCCTGCCTGCCCTTCCGGTTACCTCTGCCCAAGTTTCCCATCTCCAGCCGGGACCACCCTCTGGTGTCACTTCTCTCACCTTGCAGTCACTTACCAGAATTCCCATGGGGGTGTTTTGTAAAATACAGAAACTATAATAATATTAATGGAAAGTATAAAATGTATAGAATTTTTGAGAAACTGTGTTCTACTTCCAGAAAATGGTCACTTTAACTTTGTAAATATTTATCTGAAATGATATTTACAAAACTGTGATATATATTATTTGACTGTACATGTACAACTGTAAATACATTTGTACCTCTCTTGTATTCTAAAATAAAAATTACTGCAACATTTATGGTCTAGCATCTGAGTGGGTGGGCACTTTTGTCTACATGACGAGGAGATATGGAGGGTGTCTAGAAACTGGAAAGGAGAGGATAAGAGTGTTTGCACTCACTGGTGTGAAATTCACCATTGTACGCTCTAAAGGGGAAATTCTGGTCAGTGGGGTGAGGAGAGGTGGGCCGCCGTGCAGAGCAGCGAGAATCTCAGGCAGGGGTGGGCAGATTTCTCTTGGTTTCCAGCTGACTCGAATATCAGTGACGCACTTAACCTCCCTGAAATCTTTTACTTTAAAAAATATATGTATTTTATTTATTATTATTATTTTTAAAAATTTGTCATAGGGTGGGGCTGGCAGGTGGTGTGGTGGTTGAGAGTACTGGACTCCCACGTGGCTGACCGCAGTTCGAGTCCCGGACCTGACAGTTCGCTTTCTTGCTTTCCCTTTCTCTCTCTCTTGCTCCTCTCTGGTCTGGTCAAATAAAAATAAATAAGTAAATAAAGTTAAGTAAAATAATTCTTTAAAAAAATAATTATTTATTTTATTTTTTATTTATTCATTCATTTATTTTTTAATTTGATCAGAGAGAGACAGAGGGTGAGAGTGAGAGAGGAAGTGAGAAAGAAAGCCACCAGATTCAGGACTTGAACCCCAGTTGGCCATGTGGGAGTATCCAGTGCCTTAACCACCACACCACCTGCTGGTCCCCGAGTAAAATAATTCTTTAAAAAATTTTGTTATAGGGCACATGTGCTCACCAGAGAGACACAGGAAGAGAGAGCTGGAGGGGGAGTGAGAAAGCAAGTCGCCAGGTCCAGGACTCCAGTAGGCCATGTGGGAGTCCAGTGCCCCAACCCCCCTGCCACCTACTGGCCCTACTTCCTTTTATTTTTTTCTCTTTCACGTTCATGGCCAGTTTAAAGGGTTCAAGCAGCCAGTCAGGGCGGTCCAAGATGACTAGCAGGCACCCTCTCAATGCCTAGAATTTCCAGAAGCTCTGGGTGCCTCCTTTCCACAGTCTGCTTGTAGAAAACCTGGGAGCAGGAAAGCCGTCAAGGTAGGGCCAGGGGCTACCCTGTCCATATAGGGCCCACCAGCTCCTCTCTGAGCCCTCCTGGCCAGCAAGGGTGTCATCGAAGTGTGAGTTCACACCTGTGCTCTTGCATGTGCCAGTTGTAAAGATGCCATCCGTCCTGCCATTCCACGAGCACACAACTCAGTGCATCCTCTTCCAGCCATGTGTTCACACACCTGCCTGCAACACTCAGGAATTCACGCCTGTACACATAGGCCATCCCCATCTGAGACTTCAGGTGTGCACTTCACCGTATACTCTGGCCGATGGGGCACAAGCAGAGACAATGAGTTCACTTGCAAGTCCCATCTGGGGCTTGCTCCCTAGGGTCAGTGGAGGAAGGTGCCCTTGTTCTCCTCCTCTCTCCAAGCCTCTTTGCGACCTTGCCATCAGGCTTCCATTGCCTCTGCTGGCCCTGCCTGGCCCTCCTCCCACTGCAGCCTCACCCAGGCCTCTGGTTCTGTGACCAAGCTTCTCTGGCTGTAGTCCTGTGCCCTCCAGATACCTGCTCGTGGGTGTTGTGGAACTCAGCATCTCCTGGCTCAATATCCAGCCTCCCAGGGAGAGAGATGGGTTTCAGGCAGGAGTCACACTTAGGAGAAGTCAGTTTGTTCTCTAGAGGTAATTGTGTTCTGCAATTCCCAACTAAGAGCTCACAGGAGCCATAACCAGGCTCAAGGAGCCACCTGGTGGCAGTGAGCCCTAACTGCGGCCAAAGTGCCTCTGATTTGCCAGGGCATCTGCTTCCACACACATGCGCAGGAATCCAAGAATCCAGGCATTTGCACACTGGAGGGAGGCCTGCTACGGAAAGCCCTAGCCTTTTACTTTGCTTGCATTTCCAGCAGAGGCCTCAGACCTCTCCCCTGGGGATTCAAGACGAGTATTCTAGGAATCCTCCCCACACACTCATGAGCTGATCCTTTTTCTTCCCCTTTCCCATTTTTAATGAATGTCCATTTGGAGTATGAGCAAACTCGGGCACACAGAGACTAAGTCATTTGCCCACACCACTCAGGTGCGGTTCCACCCCAGGCATCTGCCACTAGAAGCCATGTTTGTGTCCAGAAGGTCACAGCACCTCCTGGTCAGTCTGCAGACTTAGCTCCAGGGCTTTTCCCATAGCACTGGGATGCAGTGTGGTATTGAACTTGTACCCTTTGACCTAGCAGAACTCTCTTATTTGTTCTAGTATCTCTTGGTATGTTCCGTAGGCCTTCCACGTGCACAGGCTTGTCTATGAGCAAAGACACGGTTACCTCTCACATTCCAACCACGATGTCTTTTGCTTCTTTCTCTTGCCTCACTGCATGGTCCAGAACCTTCGGTAACAGAGGATTCCAGACAGGGGCCAGTGGTCTGAGTTTGAAACTGCTCTGCCATTCACCGGCTGTGTGACCTTGGGCAAGCCGATTAATGTCCCTGTGCCTCAGGTGCTTCACACGGAAAGTGAGGGATGAGGCAGCCCCTCAGGATGTCACCAGGGTTAAGTGGAGGAGCAAATGGCGTGGTGTCCGGCACGCGGTCAGCGCTCCGCAGACGAGCACTCGGAGTGACTGGCTTGAGGAATCTCGGCTCTGAGACATAAGCGCTGCCTCTGGTTGTCTGGAACCTGGCTCTGGGCTGATGAGGGCAGGTGGATGTCGGCCTGAGAGACAGGTGATGAAGGTGTTGGGGAGAAGGTCTGGGTTGGGAGTTTTGCAATGGGAAGGCATGCCCCTAGCCAGTTGTTCACTATTGCTAGAAACTGGTCAGTGCTGGGCTGGGCATCCCTCTCAGGTCAGCAAGTCCCCAAGAAGTCAAAGTGTCAAAACAGAAGAGCAATAGTAACAGAAGGACCTGCAGGCATGAAGCCGAGGAACCAGGCAGAGAACCGTCCAGTACGCTGGGGCTCACACCCAGTGGGGAAGACTGGCGCAGAGCGAACGAGCAAGCCAAGTGCTATGAAATGATACCTTATTTCTTCAACACCAGTTTTGTGGCTGCCTCATACGTGTCACACCCGGTCCTCTGAGTGTGGGTACACGCCGACCAAAACAGATCAGTCCCTGTTCTCAGGGCACTCACTACACTAGTGCAGGGAGACTGCAATAAACAAGCAAGAAAAGTCAGTAACAAGAAATAAAGCAGGGTCACGTGATAAGGGGAGAAGAGGGTTCTTCCAGGTAGGATGGTCAGAGAGGACTTCTCTGAGGAGGTGCTATTTTTTTTTTCTTTTAAGAGGTTTTTGCTATAGGGCACATGCACTCACCAGAGAAAGAGACAGAAAGCGAGAAGTCACCCCCCCGGGGGGATGGCCACGCCGCAATCCCCTCTGCTCCATTCTCCTCTCAGTATCCTGGGCACGCTTGTACACATGCCTGGCATGAGTTTAAGCCACCAGGTCCAGGACTCGAACCTCGGTTGCCTACGTGGGAGTCCAATGACATAGCATTATGCTAACTGCTGGTCCCAAGGAGGTGCTATTTGAGCAAGGTGTGAGTGAGGAGAAAAGGTCAGCCACACAGGGCCAGGGAGAAGAGAATTCCATGCAGACAAAATTGAAAGCACATCAGTCCTGGAGCGGGAGGAGCTGGTGTCCACGGGCCGAGGCGAGGCCAGTGGTCTGCAGTATAGTGATGCATGGCGGTGGGTTAGCAGAAGGCGGAGGCTAGAGACCCACAGGGCTGCCGTAATGAGCTTGGGGTTTTGTTTGTTTGCTACAGGGCACATGTGCTCACCAGAGAGAGGGAGAGTGAGGAATCATCTCCCAGGGGGATGGCCATGCCACAATCCCCTCCTGTCCAATCTCCTCTTTGGATATTTCGGGCACACACATACATGCGCCCAGCATGATTTTCAAGTCACAGTTCTGGGATTCGAACTGTGGAGTTAGCTATGTGAGATCCAGCCACCTGCTGGCCCCAGATGAGTTTATATTTTATTCTTAGTGATCAAAAGAAAAGAAAAGAAAAAGAAAGCTGCCAGAAGTATTTTAAGCAGCGAAGTGATTTAGTCCGATCTGTTTAAAGACACTCTTTGGCTGCCGTATGGCCATCTGATACTAGGGGGACAAACAGAATTAGGGAGACAAGCTAGGAGGCTATTACTTTGCCTTGGCAAGGGGTGACATTGATTGCCATGACAAAGACGCACAGATAAGGGGAGGATCAGTGA